ATCTATTACCTCAGAAGAAACACTGTGTTTTTAAAGAGAATGCAGAAGTAATAAACATCCCAGCAGCCCCATCCCTGGGCCTTTCATCATGCTTGGACTGCTGAAGGGTTTTGGTCAGGTAACCCTTGGTCATTTCAGTCACTAAATTTTTTCAAGCCTCCTTTTTCAGTCTTGGAGACAGTTTGGCCTCCTCAGGCTGGGTCTTACTGCACAGGACAAAGTTGCACAAAATTGCTGCAGGTTTAGTATCAACTTAAAAAAAAATTCACCAGTTATTTTGGTCAGTTAATTAACTTAGTTTAGGAGAAATAAAGTATGCTGTGTATATTTTGATCTATTTAGTTGTTGCTAAGACTCACCAAAGGCCTCAAGGCAAAGAGTTTTAATTAAAGACATCCGTGGGCAGGAAGCTGTGTGCACAACTGAAGAGTATGCTACCATTTGTGAAGTTGGAATTCCCTCACATTAATTGAATCAGACTCATGGAACCTATATTAAGCAGTGCTCTTTAACGCAGTCCCCAGAGTGCTGACATGCGCTGTACAAATAGGAGCCTCTGGAAATGTTCAGTCTTCTTCATTTTCCCCTTCTTGCTTTTATAGCATGGTGTGCTAGTCTTTGGGGATAGAAAGATGAAAAAGCTGTAGACCATGCCTTAAGGAAGGCATGATCAAGGAGGGGAGGCTGACATCTGAGGAAGTAATTAAAAGTACCCAATGCATGCCATAATGGCAACAGGCACAGAGCACAGAACTAGCACAAAAGGTTTGACTGGGAGGGACTCTCTGGAGGAGAAATTTTCAGAGGAAACATGTTACACAATTACACTTTTGAAGGATCAATGGGAGTTCACCAGGTGAAGAAGGTGAGAAAGGGCATTCCAGGCCCAAGAATCAGTGCGTGCCAAGGCTGGCATACTTGGAGAAGTGCAGTGTGTTTGGTGTTCCTGCATCATAAAGTGCAGTGAGGAGATTTGTGCGGAAGGATGGTGGAGAGGTGGGGGCGTGTGTGGGGAAGTGTTTCATGTGTTGTGCTAAGGAGTCTAGTGTTTACGTGACTGGTATTGGCGGACCATTAAAAGATTTAGATGGGAATGATTCAGTCACTTGGCATTTTATAAAGGTCTGTCTTGGTGGATTTGTGGCAGGTGCATGGGAGAAAGGTCTGGGGCTAGGGCTACATCATGGTGATGTTGAAGGTCTGGACTAACGGGCCAGGGGGTGGGGAAGTTGGGGTAGATTTGACCAAGATTTATGAAGTAAAATCAGCAAACTTGAATGAGTTATGGCAATGGGAAGGTGAAAGTCTAGGCTGACTCCAGCATGAACAACTGGGTGAATGGTGGGACGACTGTGTGAGATAATGAACACAAAAAGGCTTGCCAGGCATAGGTTGAGGCCCGATAGTGAGCTCAGTTTTAGACAGATATCCACAGTTTATGTTAAGTGGATGTGGGCTGAGCTTAGGAGTGGATAAGGAGTGTTGTTTTGGAAGTGAGGAGTATGAGATACCTGTGAAATACCAAGTAGTGATAAACCTGGGTAGTAGATTTATGTTATTAGAGTTCAGGGTAAAGGCCAGAATGGTACATATCATTTGGAATTCATCAGCATGGAGGTCATCATGAAAGCTGTAGAGGAGTTTGCCCAAGAGTCAGAAAAGGTAGGACAAAGCGTGGAATTTTGGGAGGCTTCAATATTTATGAGGTGGCCAGAGAAAGAGGATGAAATGATCAAAGAGAGAAGAATCAGATGAGGGTGATGCCAGGGTTTCCATCCATCTATCCACCCACCCACACACATCCCACCCACACACATCCCACCCGCCTTTTATCAGTAGAAATTCACTCATGAGAACTTATGACATGTCAAAGACAGGAACTGTGATAGGCACTGCAGGAATCATAGAACAGATTTGATTTTTATTCTTAAAGAGTTTCCATTCTAGCCAGGTAGGAGATTGGAGTTGTCAAATCATGTTCATTTAAAAAAGTAAAATAAAAAGAAAGGAAAAGAAAGTAACAAGAAGGAGAAGAAGGGTGAGAGAAAGGGAGTTTGATTTTGACTTCACTCACTTCAATTTTCAGTCCTGTCATCGTGCTCCTGCTGTGTGTCCTGGAGGTTGTTGTATTGGAGAGAAGCCCATTTCAAAATTTGTTTTCGTGTCATTAAAAAGAAAAGAGAAGTACTAGGATCAGTTGTTTGAAGTTTAAATAAAAAGAGAATGAGAAAAATTGATGTGTTTTAATTGTTTTATGTACAGTTTTTGCTGGAGTCAGGTTGATTGGTCTTTACAACCATCTAAGGACACTCAATGCTGAAACAGCTCACTTAGGGTTTTTCAGAAATATACATACTTAGCCATCAACTGGAAAGTCAGTCTCTAAAAATGTAGAATTACATGGAGGAATTATTCATAGATCTTCTTTCTTTCTTTCTTTCTTTTTTTTTTTTTTTGAGTTGGAGTCTCACTCTGTTGCCCAGACTGGAGTACAGTGGCTGCTTCCAGCTACCGCAGCCTTGACCTGCTGGGCTAGATCTTCTTTCAGATATCTTCCATATATACTCTGTAATGGACTTAGTCTTCCTTGAAGGATCTTAGTCTTCAGACAGAACTCCTGCTATGAAATCAACTTCCGTAGAATGATTAAGCCACATAAAATTCACTGAAATAGTGTAGACATTTCCAAAAATAGCACAGAATTGAATTTTTATGAGATTTATTTTTTTCAAAAGATGTGGTTGCTGTTGCCTGTACTTAGAGGAACCGAGCATTATCGAAAAAAAGACTCCGAGAAGATCCACACCCAGCACTTCCTTTCCCCCAGTGTCCACAGCAACTCACTAGTTCATTATCTATTTAGTTCTTACTCATTTCCAGTGACAGAACCTCAAGAGGCTGCCGTGGTGATGTTCAGTGGGGCCTTTGAGGGAAGTGGGTGGCAAAGGGACTTTCTCCTGGACTTCTTGGCCTTCAACCATTCCACTTGTTTGTCATCTTTGCTTTCTTGTTTTATATAATTTAATAATTTATGCACATTGAGCCAGACCATTACATTGACTATATGGCCCAATGAAATGAAATAAAATATGTGTGCTCATACTGCATTAATTTGTCTTTCTCCAGTTTTCACTCCACAATAATGCACTTTGATTTTCTATTTATTAGGGAGATACAACAGGAAGAGATAAGGATCTTAGCAATCTTGTAAAGTCTTATATAAGCATAACGTTACCATTGTAGTTATATTTAGGTATGTAGAAAATGCTGTGTTGCTTCAAGATACTTCCCCCAAATTATCCTGGAATTATTTGTGTTGACAATATTTAGCTGTTTTTTGAAATATTGTCACCTGACTTTCCATTGCATGCTATTTCATTTTGTGTTAAACATATCTTAAACAAAGAACTGATTTATACCCTTTTAAAATAATAATATTGCCTTAGGTGTCATTTTACCTATTCAATTTTTTAAAAAAGTAGATTCTGAAAATACTTGAGAATAATTTCCTAGCTGTGACTTGTGCTAATAGAGCTATTTATAAGGCAATCTAAGAAAATAAAATGTAATTTTAAGTAAAAGAAATTAATTTAACATATGGAGCTCTAGATTTTGTTTTTCATATAGTAAAAAATTTACATAGATATAAAGCTTTACCGTGTATCCAGGGCTGATCAAAACATGTATGCATCAGTAAGGCACTGGCACTCCCCAGTGAAAATGGGGATTGGCCTCAGCTCATGAGTAGTGTCCTGTCCCCTCCCCACCCCCAACGGTTGTTAAGCCTATAGGTGCCAAATTATGGGTGGGGCAGGGTACCAAGGTGACAGCAGAGCACTGGAAGGCTTAGGGCAACAGCCATATACCAACCTGCGTGGAAGTAGTTTAATAGTTTAACAACCAGTACCAGGACATCCTAGCTGAATGAAGCACCATATATGTTAAAGATTTTGTGTTACGTTTTGTTAGGGATTGGTGGAAATTGAGCTTTCAAGTGATGTAAAATCACGTCTGGCTCTTCTAAGTGTTCTTCTAAGGCAGTAAGTCTTTTTGGTATATGATAGAGGAAACTCATAGATTGTCCATTGGATGGGATGACCTAAAATACATGGGGTCATTTGCGTGGGTTAAAACCGGTCTTTATCTTACTCATCATTGTATCCCCAGCACCTTACCCTACTTGAGACTCAATAAGGAATGAATGAATGGTTGGAGGGAAATGTCTGGTTTTTTTGCTTTGTTTTTGAGTCAGAGTCTCACTCTGTGCCCAGGCTGGAGTGCAGTGGCATGTTCACAGCCACCTCAGCCTCGACCTGCTGAGCTCAGATGATACTTCTGCCTCAGGTCTCCAAGTAGCTGGAACTACAGGCACACTCCACCATGCTAGGCAAATTTTTTGATTTGTAGAGATGAGGTCTCACCAAGTTGCCCAAGCTGCTCTCAGACCCGTGGGGTCAGGCAATCCTCTTACCTCAGCCTCCTGAAGTGTTGGGATTATGCGTGAGCCACCACGCCCAGCCTAAAGTCTGGTTATTTTAAGTGTAGGTTTTGTTATTCAGTAGTGGTAAGGCTAACAGATCAAGAGACTACTACCATTGAAAATGGTTACAGCTCTCAAGAGGAAGGAGCACACTGTGGCAAGAGGGGTCAGTAAGGAGGGGAGGGGAAACATTGTCACTTCAATGAGAGGGAATGAGTGAGGCAGGGTAAGTAGGCTTAGGATTGGCTAGTTGGAATAGCTCCTGTGGTCTGTGAGGTCTCTAGTTGTCTAGTACTGGGCCTGGGATACAATGATGGCCCAGAAAGTGAGAGTATGATGAGAGTGATGGTAGGGTGTGGCTCTGGATTGGTTAGTTTGTATATGAAGGGCGTGCTCCCTAGCCAATCATTTACTAGCTCTAAGAATATAGCCCTGGGAAGAACAGTCTCCCCAGGAAAATCAACATTGTCCCAGATGTCCAAGAACCAGAATAACAGAAACAAAAGGCAGGATTAAGGCAATGGCCACTGTGAGAAGTCATGCAGATATTCCCTTTATCCTTCAAGGTATGCTGAAGGCAAGCATAGGTGTTTTCTTTCTCTTTGCCTTCCTCACTCTCTTTGACCTGTGGCTACTTCTAACCCAGCACTTAATGCTGATTAGAGCTAAGAGTTATGAAGTCCTTACCCTTTGTCTAGCACTATCCTAAGGACTTCACATGCATCAGCCCAACTTGTGTCCACAGCACCTGCTGCTGTGTGTTCTGTTTGGGTCCTTGTTTTATAAAGAAAGAAGTAGGAGCCTTGAGAACTCATGTAACTAGTCGAAGTCCCATAGTGCTGTGATGTGATGTTCTTGTTCTTTGTGTCTCCCGTTTATTGTGTTCCAGTTGCTTGCTTGTGCATCTTGTCACAACTAGTCTGAGCAGCTCAACATGTGAACTGTTCTCATCCGTGTATGTCCAGCCTCCATCACAGAATAGACACTGTATAAACCTTTGTAGGATAATATGTAAAGGTCTCACCATCTCTTCTCTTTGATTTGAGCAACTTGAGAAGGAACCGAGTATCTAGTAATGGTGGGAGAACAGCCCCAAGGGAGGGAGATCTGTTTTGCTGCTTCTTATGCTTTGTTTGACATGTTCGAGAATGGGAACTTAGGAAGAAAGAAACTTGCGACTCTGCAAATGGTTATTTCTGTTTTGTGGCATTTGTGCTTTACTTAATCTGGGCTTCATACATGCTTCCTTTGCAGGAACGATTGCCTTTAGAAAGCCAGGCGTGGTGGTTCACGCTTGTAATCCCAGCACTTCGGTAGGCCAAGGCAGGAGAATTGCTTGAGCCTAGCAGTTCAAGACCAGCTAGGCAACATAATGAGACCTTGTCTCTATTAAAAAAAAAGAAAGTGAAAGAAAGACAGGGAGAGAGGGGCAGGTGTGTGTGAATGTGTGCCCTTGGGAAAACCCAGTGGATGTATAGAATGTTCCAACCCAGGGATGTTAACGGGAGAGACAGAGCTACTGTGTCACATGGGGCTTTTCTGATTGTTTCCTCTGCTTTATCTTTCTCTTAGCTTGCCACCAATCCTGTTTCAGATGTGTAGGGAAGAGCCCACTGAACTGCACCGCCTGTGGGCCTTCCCATGTGCTGCTGGATGGGCAGTGCCTCTCCCAGTGCCCAGATGGCTACTTCAGCCAGGAAGGTAACTGTACAGGTGAGTATGTGACATGCTGGGGCATATTCCCTATGTCCCTGTTTTGTCTCCATAGTGTAGCGAGACACTCTAATTAGAAAGCTTGCCATACCAGGAACTAGGATTCAACTGTCAATCCTTGTCTTGAAATTGCAGGTGTCAAGGTATAGCATGAGGCAAACAAGTGAAATTTTGTTCTGCCAATAAGGAAGCATGAGTGAAGTGAAACATTAAAATCAGTTTTATTCTAGAAACTATATTTGAGTAAACTCTGAATTTGGTTTTCTCTTGGCTGGAAGACCTTGATAACTCTCCTCATAGACTGAATAATGATTTTCATGTCCTATAAGAACCAGAACTCAGTTCAGTTTAACTCTTTGTTGCTATGGCTCTTTTAAAGTTTAAAAGTTGACTTTCCTTTCTTTATTTGTCATTATTTATATATAATGGTTGTATGTATTTTTGTTGTTGTTTTGTCGTTTTTTTTGAGTTGGAGTCTCATTCTGTCACCCAGATTGGAGCGCAGTGGCCGCTCCTGGCCACCGCAGCCTCGACCTGCTGGACTCCGGCAATCCTTCCGCCTCAGCCTTCCAAGTAGCTGGAACTACAGGCGCCTGCTACCATGCCTGGCTAATTTTTTGATTTTTATTGTAGAGATGAGGTCTTGCCAAGTTGCCCAGGCGGGTCTCGAATCCGCGGACTCAGGCAATCCACTCACCTCGGCCTCCCAAAGCGCAGGATTACAGGCTGAGCCACCAAGCCTGGTGGTTTTACGTATTTATGGGGTACAGGTGAAGTTTTTATACAGGCATACAATGTATATAAAAGTTTATGTTTCTAAGTATTAAAAGAAAGTTTATTATAGAAGGTTTGTAGCTTTAGAAGAGAAAAAATTGGGGATTCAGGGTGGAGATCACTAATGCCACATCTCAGAAGCAACTACTCTTAATGTGGTGATATTCTTTCTTGGTATACTTTTTGTGCATATTATTACATAGTTGAGAACAAACTAGGGCTATAGTCTTATATTTGTTTTTTCCCAAACATTAAGTCATAAACAATTTCCTATGTGATGAAAAATTATTAGTACAGATATGTGTGTGTGTGCATTTATCATTTTCATGACTGCATGCTGTTCCATTTCTTTTCACATAAGAAGCAGAGGAAGGATTTGAAATTTGGGAACTGAGACCCTTGAGGACACAAGGGAAATCTTTTACTTTATGTGTTAGTGAGGTCCTGCCATGGATATCAATGGTTGCCGAATAAACCACCCAAAATTAGTGGCTTAAAACAATTGATTATTATATTTCCCAGTTCTGAGGTTTGATGGACTTAGCCGGGCAGTCTGTTCTTAGTGGTCTGAGGATGGACTCTTCCCTGACGTGTCTGACACCTGGTTTGGTCAAGAATCTCTTGCTCTGTGAGGCTTCTTCTTGTGGTTGGTTGGACTTCCTCACAGCATGGCAGTCTCAGTGAGTCAAATTTCTTCTATGTCAGCTGTTTTCTTCCAGAGTGTATATTTCAAGAGATGTAAGCAGGAGCTGCAAGCTTCTTAGGATCTAACCTCAGAAGTTTCACTATCACTTCTGCTATATTCTATATGTCAGAGCAGGACAATCCAGATGTTAAGGGGTGAGGGAATACACTCCACCTCTCAATTGGAGAATGGCTCATGCATTCAGTGAGGGATGGATTTGATGGTCTTTGTCATGGAGACAAGCTACCACAGGCACTAATGCATTTGTATAGAATCAGGCATTTGGCAGTTCTCAATCTCTCTTCTCTTGGCTACAGTAGAACAGAACAAAGGAGAGAGAGTATTTACTTTCTTCTTTGACATGTCAGTTCAGAATGTTTTTTAAAACACCTTTATATTTCTGACTGAGATTCTGGAAATTACTAGTTGAGATTAGCACAGAATTTTATTAAAATTGACAAAATACTAAAATTTAAGTACCTTATTGTAGCACTGTTGTTGGTCATGGTTTCTTTTTCCCTTTATTTTTTTGGACCTACAGAAAAAGAAAACAGAAAATTTTCTATCATAATACCCATTTTATTTCTCAAAATAGACTGTTGGGACCAGATGATAGAAAAAAACCCATTGTTATGAAATTACATTACACGTATTTCTGGTGTCAGAAAACATATAATACATTTATTAAATATTTTAAAAATAAATTAACACTTGTTAGATTGATCTAGCCTTAAACTCCAAAGAGGAAATTTAGAGTGAACACAAATTTAGACTTAAGATCAATTTTACTGTTATTCTAGAATTTGTTTCCTTTTTCTAAGTTGTGGATCCCAGTGAGTTGCCTTACTTTAAATACTCTATCAAGCTCAGGGGGGGGAATGTTCCTGGTTTTCTTGTAATTAGGGTTGTCCTTGAATCTTTGGTGCTTTTCTCTTAGCCCTGTTGGTTTTTGTGTATGTAAGGCTGTTAAGGGAGAAAAATCTGAATAACTCAAACTTTTTGCTATTCATGCCTCTGTTTGCTTGAAGCCAGCAGTTGATGGTACCATGAGTGGTGGGGCACCCAGGTCACTGGAAGTATTCTGGTAGGGAGAAGAACCAGGTGGTAGGAAACATCCAGAGAGTGCTGTATCTTTTGGATAGGCATTTGTAAATTTGTGAGCCTCAGGAATGTAGCAGGGAGATAGTGCCATCCTCCTAATCAGCTGTTCATTTTCTTGCTTGCTTGCTTTTTTTTTTTTTTAAATAACTCCTTATCTTCTCTTGGCCTCTTGCCAGAAGTGAGAGGCAGTTGACTTTACTTGAAATCTGTGTCTTTGCTTCCTACCAGCCGGGTACCGGGAGACTTCATCAACTCTGGCAAGCTCTGCCCAGCTCCAGCCCCTCCCGCCCCTTCTTCTGGAATCAGACGCGCTGAGACCTCCTTGTCCTTGGCAGAGAAATCCTTACATTTCCTTTATGCACTCGCTCCTGCTGCTGCCTTGGCAGCGTCAGTGCAGCTGCAACCTTCTTTGACTCTCTGCCATCCTTATCTTTATTGCCTGCACCTACTGTGACTCACTTGGCTTTTTTTTTAGTGTAGAACCTCTTGTTAATTTGGGATTTTTCTGGGGAGACATAACTTTGGCATAATTTTGTCTAAAGAATGGAACTTCAGACACAGTTCATGATAAACCCCAGAAAGAGGAACTTTTCTGTTCTTCGTATTTTAATTAAGTGTTGCTGATAACACAGGCGTCCACTCTGTGGCTTGAAGGGAGAGGCTAGCTGGCACCTGACTCCGGAGAGGAGTTTCGGGACCACTGCTCTGTGGGGGCCACCCCTTGGTCTGCCAGGAATGTTGAGAAACAAAATGTCTCTTCTCCCTATCCTGCTCTGTCTTTGAACCATGGGTTAGGGTAGGGAAATCATACCACACTTGTTTCTGCTGTGTGACACTGATGAGAACTTCCTTCTTTACACATATGGGGATGACCAAGCTGGTCCTTCTGAATGTGTGGCAAATTACTTAAATACTTATAGTTCCAGAGTCCATATGATGTTCTTGGACAGTATTCTCGTTGACACCAGATATACAGTCTCTTAGTATATCTTAGTATATCTTAGTATACCTGAGGGTATGCTGGGCTTGCTTAGGGTAGTATATCTTAGGGTAGTACATGCTTAGTATATCTTAATATACCTGAGGGTATGCTGGGCTTGCTTAGTCTCTTAGTATCTCTTAGTATATCTTAGTATACCTGAGGGTATGCTGGGCTTGCTTAGGAGTCCTCAAAAGATGATCAGAGTTCAAGGTGTACTCTTAATATAGTCTGTGGAGTGGACTAAATGCTTTATGCCTGTGTGTGCTGAGCTGCTAACTCCAACCCTGGTCTTCGTTTCCTTCTAGAATGTCACCCAACCTGCAGGCAGTGCCATGGACCACTGGACTCTGACTGCGACTCCTGCCACCCACATGTCTCTCTCACCAACCGGACCTGCAGGACCCACTGTAGGGCCGAGCAGTTCCTCAACCTTGTAGGACACTGTGCTGGTGAGTGGAGCTCCTCTGGCATCCTCAGGAACAGCCAGCAACTGTGGAGTTCTGCATGCCAGGCTGAAAGGCTCTTGTCCCTGCCCTCTGTCCTTGTACCATGAGCTCCTTTACACGAGACGTGTGTCTCCTTTCTGAGAACTCCCCTCACTGCTTCCCCTCAGTCAACATTTCAGTAGATTCAAATAGAATTTCTAGTAATACTCTTGCAAGTCCTGAAAAACTTAGAATCTCATATTAATGAAGAATGAGGTGATGATAATAGTACCTTTATGCGCACTTGGCGACTTCATTTTACAACTGCAAAATGTGTTTTCAAGACAATCACTTTGAAGACTTTCTTCCTCTTGCCTGTATCACGTCCTGCCTCTTGGCTGTGGGGGAACCCTTGTCATCAGCTCCAAGTACAACATTTTAGGGAGATTAACCTAAAAGCAGATCAGTTGCCTCAAGAGATGGGATTTTCCCTCTTCATTTTAGAACCTAGATCTCAAAAAAAAAAAAAAAAAGGAAATAGGAAAAAACAGGAAAGCAGTGTGAAATTTAAATAATGTTGGATCCGTGCATCATCTGTGTTCTTCTATCCATTCTGACAACAAATGTGTATCGTTGCATGCCTACTGATGGTCAGATGCTCAGAATACAAAAAAGAATGAATGAGAAAGCAACCTTGCTGCCTAAGAGCTTCTAGTCTGGAGAGAAACATTTGCAGGCAGGTGGGTGACCATCTGTTTCTTGACCCACTCCTGCAACTGTAGGAGAGACTTGCAGAGATTTGCCTTTCGCAGCTGTTGTCCTGACACTGAAGGGCTTGCCTGGGAGGTGTGCTGGGATGCTACATGGCAAATGAGGAAGGCAAGAAATCTGAGACCTGATAGCATGTGTACCGGATGGGTTGACCTGGCTGCTGAGCTTGCCCATGGGCAGGGAGCAGGTATGGCCAGTTGTCTAGATCAGTGGTACCCAACTCCCAGGCCATGGACCAAGCCACACAGCAGGAGGTAAGCGGAGATGAGCAAATAAAGCTTCATCTGTATTTACAACCACCCTGCATCACTCACATTACCACCTGAGCTCCACATTCTGTCAGATCAGCTGTAGCATTAGATTCTCATAGAAGCACAAACCCTATTGTGAACTGTGCATGCAAGGTATCTAGGTTACATGCTCCTTATGAGAATCTAATGCCTGATGATCTGAGGTGGAGCTGAAGCGGTGATGTCAGCAATGGGGAGTGGCTGCAAATACAGCTTAACATTAGCAGTGAGGTTGGACTGCACACCCCCTCCAACCCTACAGTTTATGGAAAAATTGTTTTCCATGAAACCGGTCCCTGATGCCAAAGAGGTTGGGGACCGCTGGTCCAGATCACAATGTCTAGAAGGCACATCAGTCTGAGATGTCCCTGATATCTCAGGGTTCCAGCCTGGTGGGTGGGGGCACAGCAAGCCAGCGGCAATGGTCCAGAAGTGGCTGGTGGCACCATGGCCCAGGTGATCCATTTCTTGTTGCACATGACCTTAGCTAAAGAACAGACATTGGGGATCAAGGGCTATACCCCAAGAAGACTGAACTGTCAAGCACAGGACTGAATGCAGCCCAAAATGCTGGGATTCAGAGCTGAAGCTCAATCACAGAGACTGCAATCACTTTAGGGGCAGCAAAAAGTAGAAGCTCAGAGTCCAGGATTCAAGACTCATCAGGATTCCCTCTGGCTGCAGGATGTACTGATGATGCCAGTTGTGGTCAGGACCATCTCGAGGAGTGGGCAACGTGAGAGACAGGAACTCCTGTGCTCAAAGGAGGGTCTGATGATGGCAGGGCTGACTATTATTGCAGTCTGTAAGTTTGAACTTAGCTACTGATTTTTACTTTAGGAGATGGAGGAGCAACTGCTACGAGAACCAAGCAGTCCCTGACATGGTTAAAGCACATCAGTGGATAATTACTGAGAACCCACTGAGCGTAAGGTGTCAAGTTGCTGTTTGAAGAGACACAGAGCTCTTCCATGCTGCTTAAGGAGACGAACCAAAGACATGGGGACGTTAACAAATAGGACAGAGCAATTTATGGACAGTAACACTACTAGATAATAAGGGCTATTGGAGTTCAAAGCGAGAAGTAACAGGTGGGGAAGGCATCATGAGTGGGGTCCAACCGAAATGCTCTCAGAAGAATAACTAGGATTTGGATAGACAGAGCATGGTTAGGTGGACTTCCTGAGTACAGTTTTACCAGGAGGCAGGCCAGGCAGGAAAACTTGTGGGCCATTCATGCCCAGTGAGTCATCCAACCTGGATGAAGAACACAGTTGGTATTAACATGTTAAATGAAGTGGTTAGGAAATTTAAGTTGGAATCAGAGTATAGAAAACCTGAAGTTTCTCCCAGCACTTTGGGAGGCCGAGATGAGAGGATTGCTTGAGCCCACGGGTTCGAGACCAGCCTGAGCAACTTGGCGAGACCACATCTCTACAATAAAACAAAACATTAGCCAGGCGAGGTGGCTTGTGCCTATAGTTCCAGTTACTTGGAGGGTTGAAGCAGAAGGATTGCCTGAGCCCAGCAGGTCGAGGCTGTGGTGGCTGTGAGCATGTCACTGCGCTCCAGCCTGGGCAATAGAATGAGACTCCGACTCCAAAAAAAAGAAAACCTGAAGTTTCAGGCCAAGAAGTCTGGGCTGGCTCTTGTGGACAATAGGATGATGAGAGCTTTGGGATGGGTTGGGTGGGGGGACTGTAACTTGACTAAGGGTATGTTACAGGCAAGAAAGCTGCAAGCTGTGTGGAGATGGACTCGGGCGAGGAGAGATTAGAGTCAGGGAGGACAGTGAGGTCAGACCTGAATTTGATCCTTCATGATGGTTTTTCTTTTTAAAATCTATTCTGCATATGGACCCTAAACATTTCATGCTGGGGCATATTTTATAAATAAATGTTTATATAAGGAGATTGGAAAAATTTAATTTTTAATGAGCTCTGTTCTTTCTAAAGTCCAGAGTGCTCTTTGATAGTAAATTAGGTGATTAGGAGTTGCATTAATTTTTTAAAGTTAATAAGGGAACATTAGAATAGAAAAGCATGGATTCTCGAATTCCCCATCCTAGAAGAGCAGGTCCTGCTAAAAGGAAAAGAGAAGTCTTGTCTGGGAGTGAGGTGTATTTGTTTTGTTTTGTTTTCTGTGTATTTCTTTTTTTTTTTTTTTTTCTTTTTGAGTCGAAGTCTCACTCTGTCACCCAGGCTGGAGTGCAGTGGCATGCTCAGGGCCACTGCAGTCTCGACCTGCTGGGCTTAGGTGATCCTTCCACTTCAGCCTTCCAAATAGCTAGAACCACAGGCAGGTGCCAGCATGTCTGGCTAATTTTTTTTTAATTTATTGTAGAGATGAGTTCTCATCAAACTGCCCAGACTGGTCTCAAATCCCTGGACTCAGGCAATCCTCTCTCCTTGGCCTCCCAAAGTGCTGGGATTGCAGACATGAGCCACCATGCCTGGCCTGAGTGAAGTGTGTTTAGTGATGGTTTTAAATAAGGTAATCATTGTTTGGTGCTCAGAGGTCCTTTCCTGAGGAAAAATTAGTGTCATTTATTACAGAAAAGTTTGGTCAGTAATTTCAGTGGTTTAATTTTCAGAGTAGTGTGCTGATGCCAAAATTTACTTTACCACTAAATATCTGAGTTTTCTAAACACTTCTACTTCTCTCTGTGACATTGCAGTGCATTCATTCATTTACAGATTTATTATTAAGCCCATGCTTTGTTCCAGGCACCGTGCTGGACTCTGAGGATGCAAAGACAAATAGAATGAGGTAAATGTAGAATAGCAAAAGAAAGTGTATTAGTTTGCTAGACTGTAATAACAAAATTGTACAACTTGGGAGACTTAAACAACAGAAATTTATTTTTTCAGTTTTGGAGGCCAGAAATCGAGATCAAGGTGCCACTAGGGGTGAGTCCTCCAAGGCCCCTCAGCCTGCAGGAGACACCCTCCTGCTGCCTCTTCATGGTCAACCCTCTGTACACAGGCACCCCAAGTTCTTCCTGAGTGTTCAAGTCTCCCCTTTTTAAAAACTATGTCTGCTAGATTAGATTAGGGTCACCCCTTAACAAACTGATTTTAAATTAACTACCCCTTTAAAAATCCTTTATCCAACTACAGTCACATTCTGAGCTACTGGGACTTGGGGCCTCAAAATATGACTTTAGGAAGGCACAATTCAGCCCATAACAGAAGGGGATGTGTGTCTAGTATGATATTGCTGTGATGCTCTATGCTCATCACAGGATGTGAGATGAGTCTTTAGGCAAGACCTCTCCCAGACCAGAGGGTTTGTGAGTGTGTACGAAGTGGGCATGGCAGCTTTATGGAGGATGTCACCACTGAGAGGACTGAAAAGTGAGAATTAGAGGGGTTTGGAGGTTTGGAGGATAAGGCCTTTCAGAAAATGGACCAAAGAACACGACCTATTGAGATGTCCATAAAGGGTTACATAGAATGCTTGGGAGTTGGGGACTTGGTGTGGGAGGGATCAGGACAGGCCCGGAAGGCCTTGGTTTAAGAACACACTTTGCTGTCAAAGCTGAGGGGCTCCCTTGAATGTTTTTAAGCAGGGAGTGTCACTGTCACATTTTTGTGACGAGAAAGATCTATGGAAGATGACCTCGAAAAACACAAGATCGAGTCAGAAAACCCTCCATAGTAGGTGCAGGCATACAGGTGTGACAGACCTTTGCTGAGAATACTGCTGAGGGGGCAAGGGTGCCATGGCTTCACAAGGTATTCATGAATGTTAGGTCGATCCGTCTAAGATTGCTGTTTTGTCAGCAAAAAAGAGTGGCCATTTAATATGGTTTAACCTAGTAGAAGTGACAGAAGTTGATCCCCCAGCCCTGGGGGTTATGGGAGAAGGAGCTTTACAGGCAGTTTTTAGGTTTCTGGTCATGAAAATTTGAGGCATGGGAGTGCCGTTTACCAAGGGCAGGAATAGGTTTAAGAGGCAGTG